CACTTTGAATATTTCAAAGTTTCTGTTGAAAAATCAGCTGACATTCGTATGGGTACTCCCTTGTAGGTAACTGATTTTCTTTCTCTTGCTGCTTTTAGGATTCTCTCCTTGTCTTTTGCTCTTGGCATTTTAATTATGATGTGTCTTGGTGTGGTCCTCTTTGGATTCCTTTTGTTTGGGGTTCTATGCGCTTCCTGGACTTGGAAGTCTATTTCTTTCACCAGGTAGGGGAAGTTTTCTGTCATTATTTCTTCAAATAGGTTTTCAATATCTTGCTCTCTCTCTTCTTCTGGCACCCCTATAATTTGGATGTTGGTACGCTTGAAGCTGTCCCAGAGGCTCCTTACACTATCTTCACATTTTTGGATTCTTTTTTCATTTTGCTTTTCCGGTTGGGTGTTTTTTGCTTCTTTGTATTTCAGATATTTGACTTGATTCTTGCGATCCTCTGGTCTGCTGTTGGGAGTCTGTATAATATTCTTTATTTCAGTCAGTGTATGCTTAATTTCTAGTTGGTTCTTTATCACAACATCGAGGGTCTCACTAGATTTCTTGAAGATCTCACTACATTTATCGGCGGTCTCACCAGTCTTTTCGAGGGCCTTACTAAATTTATCGGCGGCTTCTAGACAGTTCTTTAAAGACCTTAAAAGTGTGGTTTTGAACTCTATATCCAGCAGTTTGCTTTCCTTCATTTCTGTCATTTGTGTCCTGTTTCTTTGTCTCGGCATTTTTTATGCTTCCTGTGTCGATAGGGTGCCTTTCTGTACTAAGTGTCCCAATTACCTGAGGTAGACACTCTTGGTGCACCCCCTTGTGGGCTTTGTGCACAGTCTTGTTGTAGTTAAGCCTTGATTGTTGTAGTTATCACTGGGAGGAATTGACCTTCAGGCCAACTGGCTGTGAGAATCAGCTGTGTCTGCAGTGGAAGAACTTCTGTGCTGGAGACACCCCTCTGTGGCAAGACTTGCTTCAATGGGTCTTTGGTGCTCACTGAGTCTGCCCCCTGAGTATGTCTTTTATGGTTCCACGGAGCTGCAAACGGGATGGTCCCACTCTGACCTCTGGGCTTCCTGGCTCCTGGATCTCTAGGGAGGTGCTAATCTAGCCTTTGCCTGTGGCTATCCAGCAAAAGCCTCCCTGCAGGGCTTGGGATGGGCAGGTCCCACGGGATCAACAGGGTGGGGCTAGCAGTTATGGCTGCTCTCAATCTTGTCCTCAGAGGCTCTGCTTCTCAGTGTCCCGGTAATCGCTGCAAGCCCCTCAGAGAGAAAGCTGCCCTCAGGTTCTGACCGATGCCAGACAGTCCCGCTTCTCCCGTATGAGTCTGGGTCCCTAGAGACTCGCCCAGAACTGGAGCTCAGAGCCTGAGACTCCCTCCCGATTGAAAACGACAACCGCGCCCTCAGCCGCCAGCCCGCTCCACATGCACTCCGCACCTTAGTATTTTACTTCCGCACTGCGCCTCCTCTGAGTCTCGGTATGCTTTTCTCTTTCCTTCTAGTTGTAGAATTTCCACTCAGCCAGCCTTCCTGTGGTTCTGGGTGATGTTCGTTCTGTCTTTTAGTTGTATTTTTGAAGTGGTTGTTCGAGGCAGCAAACTCCAGTGTTTACCTATGCTGCCATCTTGGGTGTTCAAGTTTCTTTTTTTAAAATGTTCCTCAGGGACATGAAATATACTGCATATTTTACATATATATTGTCTTCTCCATAAACTATAAATACCTTTGTTGTTTTTCATTTTCTCTGCATATTTTTCTATAGGTTGTCTTATGTTATAAACTTAATTTTAAAGTATACTTATTATATTTTTATTATTTCATCATGATTTTCCTCTATGTAATATTTTTCTTTTCTCTTCCAACTTTATCAATTTGTTTATTATCCTCTGTTGCTTTATAATCTCTTCGTATTAGCTCTTGTTAAGCACTTTTAAGTTTTCAAATTTCTTTGAAATTATAACTATTTATTTGAGTTAATATTTTTCTTTAGTTAATTCTTTCTTTCTATCTTTTTTTTGTCTATCTTCTCTCCACTCCTTCTCCCCCATCTTTTCGACCCCAACAACAAACACCTCTTGCTCTTCTCTCCTTTCTCTCTGCTCTGTGTTTCATGTTGATCCTTTTCTGATGATTACATATCTGTGGTTAGAGCCAAGTATTTTTTTTTTAATTTTTAATTAAAGTATAGTTGACATACAACTAACTATATAGGGTATGGCAAAAGTAGGTTTACAGTTATTCCTATGGAAAATAATGCAACAATAAATAAATAATAATACAATGAACTCTATGTTTCACATACTCACAACTGTCAACCTACTTTTGTCACACCCTGTAATAGTTTCAGGTGTACAACATAGTGAATTGACATTTCTATACCTCACAATTCTTAAAGAACTGAATGGAAAAAAATGGAAAATGAACTCGGGAAACCCATAGCTTCAGATCAGTTGGTTTTACTAGAACTCCTCTCCACACCTCATTTTCCCTTTTCTCTTGAGGCCCATTTCACCTCAGTTTTAGCCATAAAGAGGTTGAAATGAGTCATGGGAAATCATCCCTTTCCTTCTATGTTCTTCCGTACCTCCTAATCTCCACACCCAGGAGGAGAGACTGTAGAAAAAATTAAAAGGTCTGCGTGACTTTGCCTTCAGCTCTGCCTCCCTACTTTATTTTTGTGCCACGCAGGATCTCTATGGGAAAAGTCACCCACCCCTTGTGGGGCTGCCTCATACCCGTGGGTTTGATTGCTCTACTGGAAGGACCATTGAACAGACCCTTTGGAACTCTGATACTCACTTGCAGGGAAAGCTGTATCTTGCTAGAAGTCTGAGGACAAATCTGTGTAGAAGTCTGAAGACAAAGATGTTGGATGTCACTGTCTTCCCGCATTGCAGCTTGAGTTGTAAGCTGGATTTGCCACTCTTTTTCTTCCAAAGGACTGACAGACTATATCAGTTTGGATTTTCAGACTTGAATATGTGGAGGCATTAAACAAAATGAATGAAGTACATTTGTCACATTAAGGAAAATAACTGACAATTATTGTCAACAATAAAATCCAAGCTTTCAAGAGAAAATTAGAACTTTTGAAATCTTGTATCTACCACTGTGAACTTGACAGCTTCTCAATACATAAATATTTATCTGATGAGATTGGTCATGATTTTAAAAAACGTGATTTTTTTATATTGCATAATAAATGATGTCAACAGTTGTAAGATTAGCATGACTGGATAAACCAATATTTTCCACACTCATGAATGGGGGAAAAACTCCATTAAAAGTGCCAGGTAAATCAATGGATTTTAATGTAACAAAGTGCTAATTGATTCACTGTTATAGTTACACAGTACCTTTAAGAAACTATTACCTAATGAGTTTTGGTGTAATATCAAAGAAATTCATGCATGGAGGGGGGGTTCCTCAGCCTGACCTGTGCCCTCTCCAATCTGGGACCCCTTGGGGGATGTCTGACTGCTGGCAGTTGGACATCCCTCTCGCAATCCAGGACTGCTGGCTCCTAACCGCTCGCCTGCCTGCCTAATTACCCCTAACCCCACTGCCTGCCGGCCTGATCGCCCCTACCTTGGCCCCCTGCCAGCCTGATCAACCCTACCTTGCCCCCCTGCTGGCCTGATTGCCCCTACCTTGCCCCCCTGCCAGCCTGATCGCCCCTAACTGCTCGCCTGCCTGCCTGATCACCCCTAACCCCTCTGCCTGCCTGCCTGATCACCCCTAACCCCTCTGCCTGCCAGCCTGATTGCCCCTACCTTGCCCCCCTGCCAGCCTGATCGCCCCTAACTGCTTCTTCTCAGCCCTCAGGCTGGCCTCCCTCTGTGGGAGGCCACCTGGGAGATCAGGGGAAGGCATCGCCCTCATTACCCCGCTGCTGCTGCTGCTGCCACTGCTGGCCTGAGCCTCAACCCTTCACAGCCGCCCATGGCTGCCTGACCCTCAGCCCTCACAGCTGCTGCTGCTTTGTCTGGAAGGACGTCTGGAAGACTTCCACTCTAATTAGCATATTACCCTTTTATTAGTATAGATTTGGGGACCATTACAACCACACAGAACTTAAAGAAAACACATGGCCCTGGCCGGTTTGGCTTAATGGAGAGAGCATTGGCCTATGGACTGAAGGGTCCAGGTTTGATTCTGGTCAGGGGCACATGCCTGGGTTGCGGGCTTGATCCCCAGTAGGGGGGCTGAGGGAGGCAGCTGATCAGTGATTTCAATCATTGATGTTTCTGTCTCTCTCTCTCTCTCCCTTTCTCTCTGAAATCAATAAAAAAATATTTTAAAAAAAGAAAAAACATGATCTTCACTTTGGGCTTTGTCATTTTAAAATATCCTTTTTGCAGTATTTTAACTTCCCTCAACCTTCCTTTACCCACCCTTAAAATGCAATCTATTTTGGGGAAGATGATCAGGAAAGTGATTCTAGTGGGTAGAAGTTTTTTTTTTGGAGGGGATGGGGTTGTGAAAATATTTAAAACTTGAGCATGGTGATGGTTGTACCACTCTGAATTTACTTTAAAAAACCAGTTCATTGTACAGTTTAGTGACATGTACAGTATATGAATTATATCTCAACAAAGCTGTTCTTTTATTTCTTTTTAAATAAAGGCCAGTCTTATAATCAATTACAGATGTTTTCAGAGGCCCCCCAGGATTTGCTACCGTGTCCCAAACCACAGCTGCAACTCCCAGTTGCCTCCAGTCCTGGTGGATCTGGATGGTGTGGTTTGGAAGGAGAAGGCAGCAAGAGGCTTGTGGAATTTCTGCAGCCCCATTCCCACGGTCTCCTCATAGGGCACCAGGGCCATTTCCACTGTGCCAGCTCTCTGCTTCCTTTAACCTGTTGGGCAAAAGAATCCTGCATGCTCTGGCCAGAAAGTGCATTCTCTCTTAGGTGGCCCGAATGCTTTTTTTAAGGTCATTTTATGGATTCAAAAGAATAAACAGAGATGTAGGAAGCTTTTGTCGAATTCCTTTTACATGGTGCTTCCAGTCTCATGGGAAGTGAGATGTGGCTCTGAATTCATCCCAAAGGGTGTCTTTGGGCAAAAGCACCAGAACGGCACAACTCCTGCAGGATACCCTACACACTTCGCTGTCAGGACTCAGGGGGGCTTGAGGTGAGTGAGGCAGCCGTGCCAGCACAGGACCTGGGAGAAGGTAGCGCTTTCTACACTGCCCAGGCCCTCATGGACTGCAGCTGCACCCGCCGAGGTGGGCAGGGTGTTTCTGCTGTTTTGTTTTGGTCTGGCCTCCACCCCGTCAGCCACGGACCTGTGCCTGCACTGAGACTGTGAACAATTCGATGGTCCTACTTTTTGGTGGATGGTAGACTCACTCCCAGCCTCCCAGAGACTGGCAGTTAGACATTGGCAGCTTCCAAGTCGCTTGTGGGGAGAGCGCAGTCCTACATCCAGAACAGACTCAGGCATCCTTGGCTAGGAGGCCTCCCTGGGCTAGGGACACCGGCGGTTTGAAGGCCGGCCATGCCCCCAGATCGTGGCAAGGGTCTCCTCTGGGGCGCTGGCTGGCCTGGGCTAGGGGCCGCTGGTGGTTTGAAGGCTGGCTATGCCCCGATCCAGGCGGAGGTCCCCTCATGGTGACCATTTGTCCTGCTCCCTCAGCTCCCTAGCCTGCTGTTCGGTCGTCCAACCAGTTGTTTCGGGTCGTTATAGCCCCTGGCTTTTTATATATTAGGATAATATCTGTAAATGCTTGTAAAATAAATTTTATGCAATCTATTTGAGGCCAGATTTTTTTCAAATACTTTAACTTAAACAATATATAGCAACAGATGGAACACGGAGAATCCAGCTGTCTTCTATTAAGCCGGACATCAAAGAGATTTGCAAAACTGTGAGACAGTGCCATACTTCTCATTACATAAAGTGTGTATATATTTTGGGGGACACCCTTTATTATTTATGTTAGTATGAATTGGGGTCATTATGGTTATTTTTAATTAAAGTAATAAATAATTATTAAAAAATTTTTAATTCTGAGTACATTAAATATAGTAGATATAGTACACATAAACAAAAAAATCTTTGGGGTTCTTAAGAATATAAAGGAATCCTTAGGCCAATAAGCTGGACAATCTCTGTGCTAGGTGCACAATGTAGTAAAGCAGTAAGTCCTGCAGGAATGAAAAATTAGAAGAAACATTATGGGTTGGATTTGGCTTTGTTCCAGTGTTAGACACAGCAACAGATTGATAAGATTCAGATGGGGTAAGCTGATGCAACACTGTGTGGGAAAAGGTGTGGTGGTAGGAATAGTCAGGTTAGGTTTGGAGGACTGTGCGTGTCAAGCAGTGAAATCCCCTCAGGCTTCAAATCTCTCCTGATTTGCCTCTCTGACCCCTCTTCTACTATCACATTCATTCTCTCTCTCTCTCTCTCTCTCTCTCTCTCTCTCCACAGCTTTTTAAGGACTGATGATTATATTGGGTCCATGTAGAATCCACACTCAACTCCCCATCTTCAGGTCCTTTATCTTAATCACATATACAAAGGCTCTTTTGTCATGTAAGGTAATGTACTCACAAGTTCTGGGGATTAAAACATGGACATCTTATAGGACCATTATTCTGTCTGCCTGTTTTAGTCTGTTCAGGCTACTATAACAAAATAGCATGGATTGGGTGGCTTATAAACAACAGAAATTCATTTCTCACAGTTCTGGAGGCTGGGAGGTCCAAGATCAGGGTGTCAGTATGGTCACGTTCTATTTAGGAACCACTTCTAGTTCATGGCTGCTCACTGTGTTCTCACTTGGTGGAAGAAGGCAAGGAAGCTTCCTCAGGCCTCTTTTATGAGGACTTTAATCTCATTCATGAAGGATCTGCCCTTAGGTCCTAATTACCTCACAAAGGCTCCATCTCCTAATACTATCACCTTGGAGGTTAGGATTCAACACATAAATTTTGGAGGTGGGGAGTGCAAACATTCAGACAATAGCAGTACCATGGGGGTATTTTTGAGCAAGAAAGTGGCACAACGACAATGATGTTGAAGGGAGGAAAATCCCCCAATGATTACCCTGTATGGAACTGATCTGGCCATGAAGTTTGAGTGAAGCTCTGAGTGAAGCTCTTCCTAGGGACAATGTGGGCTTCAATGTCAGGAATGTGTCTGTCAAAGATGTTCATTGTGGCAATGTGGCTGGTGACAGCAAAAATGACCCACCAATGGAAGCAGCTGGCTTCACTGCTCAGGTGATTATCCTGAACCACTCAGGCCAGATCAGTGCTGGATATGCACCTGTGATGGATTGTCACACAGCTCCCATTGCTTGCAAATTTGCTGAGCTGAAGGAGAAGATTGATTACCGTTCTGGGAAAAAGCTGGCAGATGGCCCCAAGTTTTTGAAATCTGGTGATGCTGCCATCGTCGATATGGTTCCTGGCAAGCCCATGTGTGTTGAGAGCTTCTCTGACTACCCTCCTCTGGGCTGTTTCACTGTTTGTGACATGAGACAGACAGTTGCTGTGGGTGTCATCAGAGCAGTGGACAAGAAGGCAGCTGGAGCTGACAAAGTCACTAAGTCTGCCCAGGAAGCTCAGAAGGCTAAATGCATATTATTCCCAACACCTGCCACCCCAGTCTCAATCAGTGGTGGAAGAACGGTCTCAGAACTGTTTGTCTCAATTGGCCATTTAAGTTTAATAGTAAAAGACTGGTTAATGATTACAATGCATCGTAAAACCTTCAGAAGGAAAGGAGAATGTTTTGTGGACCATTCGGTTCTTTTGTGTGTGTGGCAGTTTTTAAGTTATTAGTTTTTAAAATCAGTACTTTTTAATGGAAACAGCATGACCAAAAATCTGTCACAGAATTTTGAGACCCATTAAAATAACAAAGTTTAATGAGGAAAAAAAAAAAGTTTGGGGCAGAGCTCTTCCTCTGTGTTTTCAGTGCAATACAGATGATACATCCAGAAGAACATCTGCTGGTATTCTGGCAGGCAAATCACTTTCCCATTTCCCGTCCTGCCCACATCTGCCATGTCGGTCACCAACAGGACAGACCATAGCTACTAGAAGCAACTTCTTCTCTTCACTTCTTATCTTGGAAATGTTCCACGAAAAGACAGAACACGGAATTGCCATATTAGATATTAGAAACCAACATGGTAACAGGGCAGAGAATTTTCCCCTCTTATGGCTGACCTTTCACATGAAGCACTTTGTTAAATAATTTGGTGAGGTTTCCAAACCTTGAAGTCTGAGGCAACATTTCAATGAGTGTTGGGTCTCTACCAGTACTCAGAAGAGAGAATAAGCTTAAGAGCCTTTGGGTAATAATTTATCACGAAGGTTAAATTGTGAACGAATGCTTGAGTTAAACAAAAGAAACCCACAAGATGGATGTAACTCAAATATTTTCCAATGTAAGCTTCCTTTTGAAAGTAATTTAAATGTTTGTCTGCCTTCTCATCACATCTATGTGTGATATGTTGAGTAATTAACTAAAGAAGACAGAATGGGAATCCCTGTGGTATAAATTCCAGGAACAGCTGAAAACTCATCCAAAGGTCACTTAGAACAAGCCCAAATTCACAAGCTAGTCTCGAACAGAATCAAGTATCCTATAAAAATAAGACAAAATGACAAGCCATTATTTCCACCCTCTCAAAATATTTCTAAAAAACAGGATGCTATTTCTTCAGTCAGGCATATAACTTACGCAGGGCATTCTTAACTACTGATGTTGACTATTACAGCATAACAGCGAACTTCGACATTTTGCAACTTGCATTGTGCAAAGTATATTATCTGCCCAATTCTCTTGGGTGTGTGCAGTTTACTATGTTTTTCCTATGCGTGTTTTCTTGGGGAAAGGATGTCATAAAGTCAGGACTGTTAACCAGAACAGGCAACATTTGCTTTAACACTTTCTCTCTTCTCTTTTGCAAGATTTTCTGCTCTAGAGGAAGCTATCACAGCGCTTCTCCCTGCAACCTCACAGGCAACCAGTGATATTGTTACCTAGAGCTCCATACTCTCCTATCTTAATCCATTGGCAATTCTCTATATTGCATCTTTTCCTTTTGGATCCAAGATGTTGTCCAGCTAATTGTAGACAGATGTGACCTAGCGGACTAGGTTCCCTTTCAGACAATGTAACATGTTTTAGCCTACCAGATACCCCCATACTCATCTTAGTTGTTTTTATAGCTAATAATTTGGTTAGTTTTTTGAATATGTAAATAGAAGGTGAGGTGACAACCAAAAAGGGAGGGCCAGTAAAAAGCCTACATTTTGGGACCCTTGACCTCTCGTTAAGAGAATGCATGTACTGAAGCTCCAGAAAGTAGATATGAGAGTGAAGAGAGTTTCTAAAAAGAAAATTTTAATATATTAAAGAAAAATATCTACTTCAAAGGTATGCTTTTGCTTCTGGTTTGCCATTTGTGGCGTCTACTTAGTGTCCATTAATTGTACTGAGGAGGTAGTTAGGGTCAGTTATGTGCCCAAATAGCTTGTGTCCTACCATGAGAATCACTGGTACTTGGCACTTATTTGGGAGTTTGAGGTAGAAACAATGGGCCTTGTGAGACGTGAATCTGTAGCATGCCACATTCAGATCAGCCTAGGGAAACTGCTTGTTACAGTTCTTGGGATACTGTTCCCAACCTTGAGATCCAGAAATGGCAGATCAGTGCCTCAAGCTTTAACTAGGTACTGGGTTTGTTTAACAAACTCATTCTTCTCCATTGTTTCACACAGACCTACATACTCTGCAGGTGTCCCTTCTTAATACTGATTTATTTTTATTCTTGATGTACTAATTCTCTTAGATTAGTTGATATGAAATTTATATATTTATTGGGGTTAAAATTTGGGTTTTATTCCATGTGGATTTGTGGTTGGAGAGAACAGAACTGAAGTAGGAGTCGGAAGACTATATTAGTTTTGGTAATGCTATCTGCTATCTGCTATCTCAAAAAATTCCCAAATCTATAAAGGCTTAAGTACAATAGAAGCTTATTTCTCACTCAGGAAAAGTCCAAAGGTGTATTCTTGATTGGTGAACTGCTCTTTTCCAAGTGGTGATTCAGGGACCCATGATCCTGACATCTTTAAGATGTGGCTTCCTAGGTTGCTATGTTTATTTGTATCAAGCTGAAAGAAAAGGAAAGAGCATTGAGTGAGTTTTTAATGGGCCACACCCAAAAGGGTGCATATCATTTTGCTCACCATTCTTTTGCCTAGAACCCAGTAACCTGGCCATAGCTAACCCCCTTCTCTTGGGAATCTGGGAATATTACAACCTATCTTTTCAATGGCAGTTGTCTCCAGATCTGTTGGCTTTATCATATCTAAATAATATAAAAACCTAGACTAAAACAATATAGGATGGAACCTCCATGCCCCCTGAAGCAGATGATAGCTAGAATCCTTTCACGTTCTAGTGATCTTTTGTCTTCTCATTTTAAACAGGAGAGCATTGTACTGTCTTTAAAATAGATACTTCATTATAATAAAATCTTTTGTTGCTTACAAATACTTATTTTATTTTTTATTGAATTTATTGAGGTGACATTAGTTAATGCAACTATATAGGTTTCCGGTGTACAATTCTATAATACATCATCTATATATTGTATTGTATGTTCACAACCCCAAGTCAAGTTTCCTTCCATCACCATTTATCCCCCCCATACTCTCCTCTTCTTCCCCTCAACCTGCTTTCCCTCTGGTAATCACCACACTATTGTCTGTGTTTATGAAGGTTTTTTGTTTTTGTTTTTTTGGTTAATCCCTTCGCTCTTTTCACCCAGTCCACCAACTCCCTTCCCCTCTGGCAGCTGTCAGTCTGTTGTCTGTTTCTATTTTGTTTATTAGCTTATTTTGTTCATTAGGTTCTACATGTAGGTGAAATCATATGGTACTTGTACTTCTCTGACTGGCTTATTTCACTTAACGTAATATTCTCCAGGTCCCTCAGTGTTGTTGAAAAGGGTAAGATTTCCCTTTTATGGCTGAGTAGTATTCTATTCTGTAAATGTACCACTGATTTTTTATCCACTAATTTACTGATGGGCACTTGGGCTGCTACCAAATCTTGGCTATTGTAAATAACACTGCAATAAACATAGGGGTGCATATCTTCTATTGAATTAGTGTTTCAGGTTTCCTCAGCTATATCCCGAGAAGTGTAATTGCTGGGTCATAAGGCAGTTCCATTTTTAATTTTTTGAGGTAACTCCATAATGCTTTCCACAGTGGCTGTACCAATCTGCATTCCCACCAACAGTGCACAGGGTTCCCTTTTTACCACACCCTTGCCAACACTTGTCACTTGTCAATTTATTGGTGATAGCCATTCTGACAGGGGTGAGGTGATATCTCATTGTGGTTTTAATTTGCATTTCTCTGAGGATTAGTGATTTGAGCAGCTTTTCATATAACTACTAGCAATTTGTATGTCCTCTATGGAGAAGTGTCTATTCAGGTATTTTGCCCACTTTTTAACTGGATGGATGGTGTGTTTTTTTGATGTTGAGTTTTATAAGTTCTTATAAATTTTGGATATTAACACCTTACCAGATGTATCATTGGTGAATATGTTCTCCCATTCAATGGGCTGTTTTTTCATTTTGTCATGGTTTCTTTTGCTGTGCATAAACTTCTTAGTTTGATGCAATCTCTTTTGTTTATTTTTTCCTTTTGTTTCCCTTGTCCACAGAGACATATCAGAAAAAAATCTACACTAATAAAAGACAAAGATGCTAATTGACCATACCTTTGCTATGCCCTCAGCCACGCTCACCAGCCAATCAGAGCGACTATATGCAAATTAACCTAACCAAGATGGCGGCCGGCAGCCACTGAGCTGGAGCAAGCAGGAGGCTTGGTCGCCCCGGCAATGGAGGAAGCCAAGCTTCCTGCCTGCCCTGAGCTGGCTGTGGCCTCTGCTCATGGCAAAAAAGTTTTAATTATAGAAGACAAATAAATCCCAGATACCTGCTTCTAGCCAGCCTCCACTGGGAGCTTCAGTGGCTGGGGGTTGTGGCCAGCCTGCAAACAGCCATCAGCCCCTCACCCAGGCTGGCCACACCCTCATGGGGTGAGGGTCCCCTCTGGGGGGCTTAGCCAGCCTGAAAATGGCCCTCAGCCCCTCACCTAGACTGGCCAGGCACCCCAGCAGGACCTCCCAACCTGAAGGGGCTGTGGCCAGCCTGCAAACAGCCATCAGCCACTCACCCAGGCTGGCCACACTCTCATGGGGTGAGGATCCCTGCTGGGGGGCTTGGCCAGCCTGCAAACTGCCATCAGCCGCTCACCCAGGCTGGCCAGGCACTCCTATATAATAAAAGGGTAATATGCAAATTGACCCTAACAGCAGAACAACTGGGAATGACTGGTCACTATGACACACACTGACCACCAGGGGGCAGATGCTCAATGCAGGAGCTGCCCCCTGGTGGTCAGTGCGCTCCCACAGGGGGAGCTCTGCTTAGCCACAAGCCAGGCTGATGGCTGCCAGTACAGCAGTGGTGGTGGGAGCCTCTCCCGCCTCCTCAGCAGCGCTAAGGATGTCCGACTGCAGCTTAGGCCTGCTCCCCGCTGGCAAGTGGACATCCCCCAAGAGCTCCAGGGCTGCCAGAGGGATGTCTGACTGCCAGCTTAGGCCCAATCCCCCCAGGGAGTGGGCTTAAGCCAGCAGGTGGTCATCCCCTGAGGGGTCCCAGA